GATAACAGGACTTGCATTAATTGCTAGCCCATTTCATTGGGAGATCCTTTTTGGAGGAAGGGGGAGGAGGAGAGCGGGCTTCTTTAGGCCTTACAGTAGAAATTGAAAATCAACCAGCCAGTTATCACACCTCTTATTTATGTTAGCTAATTGAATACTTATCTGCCTACAAAGCAATGCTAATTTACAGAGGGAGAGGGACTGGAAAGGTGTTTACAAAGATTCAGAGGAAAATCTCATTTGATAGAAGAAATGCTAACATGGACCTTCAGCTGGTGTATGTTGCTGTCGCTACTCTGTCTTGTAAGGGAAGAGAAGAGAATAGATATCATCTTACAATTTCAGGGGAATTTTGGCCTCTTATTATTATTTGTAAAAGTATTACAGTAGCCCTGAATTAGACTGAAACCCCATTGTGCACAGTGCTATACATGTGTGAACACACACGCTGAGAAATATCCTTTGTCTTGCTGAGCTGGCAATCTCAGGGCTTGTCTACACAAGGAAATTAATTCATATTAAGATACGGTGTGAATTTAAGGTGAAATAGCTGTTGAATTAAGCTAATTTGGAATAAAGTACCTCTCTTGAATAAGAGTATCTACAAAGGCAGTTGATCAGCCCTCAGCACAAAGCAAGTGGGAGGGCCAGGGACTTGCCCCAGATCATACAACAGGCTAGTGGCAGAGCTGGCAACAGAGCAAAATTTTGCTACATTGCAAGTCAGTGTTGGATGCCCTGGACCACTATGCCTGAGGGAGAGCTCCCAGACTGCCCAGGATACTGTTCTGACATGACTTGTCTGACATGTGTGTTTCAAAACTTGGTATCACTGGAGTATGATTCTGCATTGAACAGTTTAACATATGAGCAGGTATAAATCTGACAGCCCCTTGCTTTTACACTGATGTATACCAGCTGAGAGCCATAGGATTTGTATTGAATTTAAGTCTCTTTTATTACCAGAATGCTGGGAAATTAGCTATATAGCTAATATGAGCCCTCTCCTGAAGGCCAAGAATGGAACAGCCATCTGGGTTTATGGGTTGTTTACCACGTGGCTTCCATCTATTCACTTAACTAACCCTGCTGGGGTATCTGTCATCCACACTCCTAAATGAAGCTCTGACAATCTCAGACACACGTGAACTGACACTTTTAATTGTATGACTTGGCCCAGGGTCTCAAACTTAGGAGCCATCTGGCATGTGACTGGATCCAGTCTCCTCTGACTTGTACCTGTACCTGGGGCTATCCCTGGAACAGTGATAGTCACTGTTTCAGCAAGATACTTGAAGGACGAGACTATTCTTGCTTTGAGCATTTTAAGCAGCTTGCTGAACAGGAACTATCATGATAGAAAACTGTCTGCAGGCTACCTCTGGGTTCACCACCATCTGAGCATAACAATGGCCTCAAAACTGGGTCCCATGCATTCATCCCCAAGAGGCCTTGTATTCCTTGACAATGGTCCTTCCTATAATCTAGGAATAGCACTGGAAGGAGCTCTGTCCGGACCTGAGCCAGAGGAAAAATGGACTCAAAAAGCAGCAAAAGCAAGGGACCAATTCTATTGGCAAAACCATCTCAGAGCCTAGATAGAAATACTATAGGGAAAAAAGAGGCTTCTTGTAATGCTTATTTAACTGCGAGTAAAGAATAATAAGACCTTTATCCAAGCAAAACTCTCATTGATTTCAGAGGGCCTTGAGTGTAACTCACCAGCACTCACCATGTATATAGAGCTTAATTTGCTTAAGGCACTGCACAAACACTGGCCTTTTGACCCATAGCAAGTGTAGTGCAGCTTCTTGAAGGCTCAGATCAAGCGTAGTGGCTTCTGAACCTGGCAGGGGAAATACCATGTATCTGTGTCCAAGAAGGCAGTTTTCCTGAACCACCTCGCAGGAGAACTGCTCTTTTGGCATGGTTCAGTACCCACCAAGGTGCAGAGGCTTTAAGCTGTTTATGGAAATGGGAGTCCCCTCCCTTGTTTGCTCTGACGGCCTTATGGCTAAGGGCAAGCAAAACTCGGGGGCATCTGAACCCCAAACCACTGGGCTTGGGCCTGCAAGTAGGATGCCCACCAAAGGTTTTGGAACCACCTGAAGCCCCAGGTGCGGGTGGAGGATGTTTGCCAGTAGTATGGCCACTTATGGTTCTGGACTCTTGGATTTGGAATTAGTTTGGGCTAATTTGGCCTTGGATACAAATTATATATATATATATAAACCTTGTTCCCATTTACAGACAGAAAATCTGAGGCAGAAACACAATATCAGCCAGTCACTCACAACAAATCTATTGCCCAGTCAGGATCAGAACTCAGCACCAGCTGATCACAGCCCTGCCTGTTTTCCCACAGGTTGCACTACAGACTAGTTTCCATTAAAGGGGAAATGATTTAAAGAAAATAGATACTAGATCTGGTGAACAAAACGTCCCAGATTAGAAGTGAGAAGGTATTACAAGAGGACATAGAGTACAATAAAAGAATGTTCATTACGGGTAAGTCCAGGAGTATCAAAACCATTTTGTCCCATGGCCTGGGCTGGTCCACAGGCAGCATCAGACTCATGGACCTCCCCATCCTCCCCCACAACATGCCAGATCCAGCACATGTGGTGCCCATTCCCGCTGGTCCAGGATCCACACTACGTGTAGTCCCCACTCCCTCCCCCAACCAGTCCTGGACTCCACAGCATGTGGCACCCCCCTGCCCTCCCAACCAGTCCAGGATTGTACCACACATGGCATGTGTCCCGGAGCAGATGGAGTGGGTGCCATGGGTGTTGTAGTTCCTGGAAAGGGTGCCATGGGTGTCGGTGACCCAGGGATAGCAATGGGGGCCAAATGATGGGGCTCATGGGCCGGATCCATCCCATGGGCCATCTCTTTTGACACCCCCAAGTTTGTTTATAGATTGCAAATCTGCTCTTCCTTCTGCCCGTTTCATTAAGTGTACGGCTAGTCAAAACACAGCAGCAAGTCTGTAGCTTTCCAAGGTTTTTGTGAAGAGCAGGTGAATTGAAAGTGTATTTTTTAAAAGGGGAACATTTCTGGAGGCTTAGTTCTAATCAGCCAGGCTAACACTAGGTTCTATGGAGCTTGATTCTTGGTAGATTGGTTGTGCTTGAGCAGAAGCACTTCAAAGCACAAGTGATGCTAATGCATCATTATTATATTATAAAGCACAGAGCCCTCAATAATTAGCTTTCAGCCCTGATCAAAAAGATACTGCCTTGTTACAGAAAAGAACAAGAAAGTTTTTGAGGAGGGCGTGTTACAGAGCAGGGAATAAGTGACTGGGATGTTGTAGGGCCTTCACTGAGGATGAAAATGAATGATGATAACTGACATTAAGGAAGGGGGGGGGTGTCTCTGTAGCAGGGGTGCTCTGAATAATGACTGATAGTAAAGAGGGGGTGTAGGAGGTGCTCTGAATGATGTAAGTGATATTAAGGAGGGATGTGGCATATGGATGTGTGTAGTACGGTGCTCCTATTGATGATAACCGGTTAAGGAGTGTGTGGGAGGGAGGGGTGCGTGTAGGGCTGTGCTCTGAAAACGGATATTAAAGAGAGGTGTAAATGTGTGGCGGGGTGGTCTGAAAGATGATAATGGATATTAAGAAGGGTTTGTGTGTGGTGGGGTGTGGTGGAGGAGTCTGAGGGATGATTGATAACTGATTATGGAGGGGTATATGCATGTGTGTGTGTAGTGGGGTGCTCTGAGGAATGATAATGGATATTAAGGAGGGTGTGCATGTGGGGGTGTGTGGTGGGGTGCCTTGAGGGATGATAATGGATATCAAAGAGGATATGCATGTGGGTGGGTGGGTGTGGGGGGGTGCTCTGAGGGATGATCACTGATATTAGGGAGGGGATGTGTGTGTATGTGTGTGTGTGTAGTAGGGTGCTCTTAGGGATGATAATGGATATTAAGGGGGGTGTGCATGTGGGTGTATGTGTGTGATGGAGTGCTCTGAGGGATGATAACTGATATTAGGGTGTGCATGTGTGCACATGTGTGTAGTGGGATGCTCTGAGGGATGATAATAGATATTAAGGGGGGTGTGCATGTGGGGGTTGCTCTGAGGCAGTGCTTCTCAAAGTATCTGTTGTGGCGAACCGGCAATTTTTTTTCCCGTGGGCCAGAGACCAGTGCCCGGTTCAGCCAATGGCAGCAACTGCATGTAACAGCGCTACACAAATGCGCGACCGGCTGTTTCATTCTCTTTCCTCACCTCGCATGACGTGACGTCACCTGGAGCGTTGGAACGTACAAACTGTGGCGCTATGACATATCAACGTTATGCTTCTGAAAATATATTACTTTCTTTCCTGGCAACTCGCTGCGGACCGGCAACTGGTGCTGGTCCGCGGACCCCCACTTTGAGAAGCACTGCTCTGAGGGATGATTGCTGATGTTAAGGAGGAGTGTGTGCGTGTGTGTCTGTGTGGCCCGGTGCTCTGAGGGATGATAATGGCTATTAAAGAGGGTGTGGGTGGGGTGCTCTGAGGGGTGATAATGGATATTCAAGAGGGTGCGCATGTGGGTGTGGCGTGGTGGGGTGCTGCGAAGGATGATAATCTATATTAAGGAGGGGTGTGCGTGTGGCGGGGTGCTCTGAGGGATGAAAATGGCTAATAAGGAGGGTGTGCATGGTGGGGGGGGGTGTGGCGGGGTGCCCCGAGGGGGTATTAAGGAGGGCTGTGGTGTGCGGTAGGTTGGAGCAACGCTGCAGCAGGGCTGTGCGCGAGCGAGGGGCGCCCAGAGGGCGGCACAGGACACTGCGGAGGGGGTTTGAGCAGGGGGAGGGGGGAGGTGC